GCACGACGCTTGCGACGCTGCTTCTTCCCCGAAGCCGACGCAGAGGTAGAACTCATCCCGTCACCAGAATCCTTCGAGGAATGCCGCGGGGAGTGGCGATTATTCGGCGGCAAGGACTCATCACTCATCTCATCGTCAGAGCCGAAGATTGTCGCATGAAGGCTTCTCGCTTTAGCAGAACGACGAGCATCTTCGGCCGCTGAGTCGGAACCTGAAGGACTGCCAGCCGAGTTCGCGGATAAAGAAAATGGATCCAAGAGCGACCCAGCAGCAGGATTCGTCGAGCCGGTGGACAGTGCAGAACCGTCGCCAGGTCCTAACACCTCGTCGTCAGACGCCGCGTCAAGGTCCTCACGCAGCTAAGCAGTCACAGTGCGGGCAGTCGCAGCAGATCTCCGGATGGGGCGCCCAGACGGGGACGTCAACACTGCCGAGCTCGCAGGGAGAGACGGCCTGAGGACACTCACGGCCGGAGTCACTAGGTCAGTCGGCGTAGTGGATACGCTCAGACCCCGAGAAGGAGAGACGTGAGAGGATCGGCCAGAAGACGACTGGGAGCGCCCAACCACCGTTAACACGACGCTGAGCGGTGCACTCGACTGGGGCAACCCAGCGGAGATGGGTGAAGTCGAGCCTGGGGCACAAACGCTCGTAGCCGGGACAGGCAGCGAAGCCACGACATCGGATGAAGATACCGGCGGTGGGCAAGTAGCCGCGACTGACGAAGTCACCGGAGGACCGGAAGACGAAGAACCCGCCGAAGTCGTCGAAACAACCGCAAGAACGGTGTCGGCGGGCGGCTCAGGCAACTCAAACTCGAATTCAGCTCCGCTCGAAGCGTCATCGTCGTCTTCAGAGCGAGCAGAGACAGCGGGCTGAGTAGCAGAACTCAGCTGAAGGTGACGAACCTTCTTCCGCCGAGTCCGACGACGGGACTTTCCAGAGCGGGGCCTTCCTCCATCGGACACAGTAGCTTGAGGAGAACTTGAAGTGCAAAAGGGCACTGATAGCCTCGTGTCCATCCTCCCCGGGAAGTGGACAAGCGTACGGTTGAGGCGGATGCGGCGCCGGTGGACGATGACGAGGACCTGCAACAGTGGGAGACTTGGGGCTGGCATAACGTCGAAGCCGTTGAGTCGAAGTCAAGTTCGCCAAAGGCGTACGGTGAAGCTGGGCGATGGTCGGCTCGGGTTGGCTCGTAGCCGCCGCTGAGCTGACTGGAGCCGCAGCCGAGTCTGCCGATGAAGTCACAGAAGAAGCTTGACTAGCTGGGGAAGCCACACTAGGACCAATAGCAGAACTCGCCACTGGAGCATTTCGGCGAGGATGGACAGTCAACTCCAACCGCCGAGTTTCACCGGCTGGAATGTGAAGAACCTCAGGGAAGCGAGCCTCCAAGACACGACACAGCCGGGCGTTGAGGAGAAGGTCGGACGGATAAAGTCCAGGAACCTGCAAGCCACCGCCAGCAGCAGCAGCCATGTGAGGATCGTGCATCGGAATAATGCCATTCCGATGGATGAGCCGCTTCTGTCGCAAGATCACCGCCCGCTGCTCAGCGATCACCGACTGAGCGTGCCACAATTGTTGAGTGCCGGTGGAGCTGTACAACCGCACCGACTCCTGCAGCTGCTCGAAGTGCTTGGAAGCAATGCCCTGAAGGGTGACGAACGCCGCATCCCTCTCAGAAATGGATCGGAGAAGGACGTCGATCTCGGCGTCTCGATCCAAGACTTGCTGATGATGGAGCTGGGCCTGACCAAACGCAGCGTCAACCTTGCTCTGCTCAGCTGCGATGGCCCGAGCAAGTTTTGCCTCACTCAGAGCTACAGCCTTTCGCAGTGACGCAAGGAGATTAGCCGACTTCGTGGCAGCAGCCTCCAATCGGGACACCTGCTGTCGCGCCGATGAGAGCTGAGTGGACAAGTCGACGTTGCTGAGAGCGAGAAAGTCCAGTCGCCGAGTCAGTGCGCGGCTCTCCTCCTGAACAGCTTGATTGTCAGCTCGGAGATCGCCAATGATCTGTGGATAATCAAGAGCGGCGTAGTTGCCTTTCAAGATATCCAACAGCTCCCCCGCGGAAGCGGCATGCAAGATCGCTCGCCGCTGCACGGGATCGGATGGCTCCACGGAACGAGTAAATCCGTAGGCCATGAGCCTCGCCAAGAAGGTCAATTCTTCTCGGCGCTCATACCCAGGCTCGTTAACTCTGGCCATGAGGGAGTCAAGACTCACTGGAGCAGCCGAGCTTGGCTGACTGGTGGCGCCCGAAGTGGTGTCGCCCGGCAAGCTCGGTGGACCAGGAGGACGCACGCGAGAAGATCCCGCCGACTCCGCGTCAGACTCATGGGAAGTTGTCAGGTCGACCAACCCAGCTTCAGGCCGGTCGCTGACCCCACGAGTGCCGACGGGTCGAGGAATCGACTCAGCTGGCGCGCCCTCACCTCGACGAGGAGTTGAAGGAGAATGGTGGCGCCGCGAGTTATGCTGGAATAGCATGCGAAGAGTAAGGAGATGCCAAGTGAGTGACAGCGGAAGCAACGAACGTACCGAAGAAGGTGGTGGAGAGCCGCGAGACGTCATCAGCCGAGTACGGACCAACGGTGGCAGAACCAAATGAAGGATTAAGACACTCACCAGCTCGGCTCGTATCATAACCGGGGCAGTTGTGGTGTAGGGATTTCCAGATTCGACCATACGCCAACCTACTTTAGGTCGAGAATCGGCTTGGTCTGATAACCCAGAGCTTAGGAACAAAAGATCACGGTAAGTATTCGGCGATCTGTCCGGATACGCTATCCGGATAGCCGGTGAGTTCAACGGTCGCCGGAACTCAGCTGAAGGGTCGGTAGAGATCCGAAACGACTACATTTCACTAGACATTTGTATGAGAAGCATATGATTAAATAGGGGAAGCCGAAAGGGCTCCCAGAAGATAACAGAGCAGAATTTTCCTAGTCCAAGACACGTGTACACTTTTCCGGTAAGTCCCTGCATAGGGCTGGATTATGCCTGCCGTCAATACTCGAGAGGCATAGCTTGTAGGGTATTGACTGGTACCGCCAAGAGATTAGGTCGGTCCGGGTAGGACAAAGTCTCGCTACGCGCAAAAGAAAGCCCCGCATACTCAGCGGGCCGGTACGTCGGATAGCCCGGGTGCCGTAACACTTCTAGCTGAGCAGCCTCTGCGCTCGGTGACCTGTAAAAGCGCTCGCGCGCCGTCGTCCATCCTTTGGTGGAGGGCAAAGGGTTGTGAACGAGCTCAGCCGAACCAAACTCGGCGGAGCCTCGGAAGTGATCTGACTTGGTTAGTCGGAACCGAGTGGAAGCGAGCCACTCGTCTGTCCCGGAAAGGCCCGACCGCGAAGGGACCACCCTCTGCGCAGGCCATACAACCGCCGACCTAACTCGGCGATTCGTTGTGGTTTGTGTAAGGAATCCACATCTGACGGTATTTGTGTATTCTACTACACCACAGTAGCGTGCCAATACCACCAGCAACCCCGAGAATATATGGAGCAACCACTGTGCATAGGTTGTACCATGACCACACGTACAGCCCCAGCTAGGCAGCAACCACAGTTCCATAGCACAATCCGATTAGCCAGCCCACATCAGGAAGAAGCATATCAGGTAAAACGGGAATGCCCCCACCGGTAGGAGAGAATGCGTCCTACTAGGTGTCCTAAAGTGTCCTATTGTCCTAAAACCTGGGATAAAAAACTAGCAATCGGTTCATAAACGATCCAATATTTAGGACACCACAATGTGCTTTAGGACGAAACAAGCCAGGCTCCGTGTGTCCTAATAGGACACTCAACAACTCGACACTTATTATGTCCTATTAGGACACACAGCAACTCAGACTACTGTCCTATTAGGACAACATCAAACCCAACATGCACTGTCCTATTAGGACAACGTTACTAGTTTTCTACTGTCTTATCAATATAATTCAATTATTCATCTATAATTCACAAGAGCAATTACACATGGGAATATTGTATTAGTAGGTTCTATCTGCATCTACTCAAACCTTTTGTAGTCTTCAGGAATCTCCAGTGTCGCTGGTGGGGCATGCTGAGGGGCTTTCTGGCGGAGGTGTTTGATATCCTCGATACGCTGGATATAGCGGCAGCATGGCGGCGCTTGATCCCGTCGTACACCTCTTGCCAGACAACTGGTGAAGGGGTAGCCATGTTGCTGACGCTGCGTCGCTGTAGCTCTAGGCGCATTTCGCTGCGCACATCAATGACTTGTGGCACCGCCTCGTCGCACGTATGTAGAACCCCGTCTGCTACAACTGCACCTGATCGGACAGTTATCTTAGCCTTGCATCCTTTGCGGAACCGCTTGCAGACGTAGTAAACCGTGCTTGTTTCAGGACACGAGCGCTTGATGCAGAAGGAGTAGCCGCGATGGTCCATGGTGCTTAGCTGCCGTGGTGGAGATTGATAAATGGTTGGTAGTGTGCCTTAGGACAGTAAGTAACGCTAATGTGTGTATTAAGTAACGCTTATGTAATTTTAAGTAGAAGGTCCAGAAGAAAGTTAATATTTGAGTTTTAGGACAATATGGAGGACACAAATTATAATATTCTGTAGCGAAGGATTAGTCGCTTTTTAGGACACATCTCCAAAATCTCCCTGTAAAATTTAGGACAAATAGGACACTTTAGGACATGTCTTAGGACGCATTATCCTACACCAGCTGGCTACAGTCTGTAGTACTGTCTTGGGGTCGAACACGTCGTCTTCCTCCAGTTCGTCCTCCGTTGCCTCTTGTGTCGTCAGCAGTGTGATCGCACTCACTGATGCCGTCAACTCACTCGTTGAGCTGATCTTTTGTTGTAGCACAGCAGGCAGTGACGTCGCAGTGAGTTTCAAGTGACTTTGATGTTCCTCTGGCATCAATTCACGGATCTTCTCGACGAGTGTAGTGGCTCGATCCAGTGCGTCGTTGTATTCCTAGTTTACCGGCTAGACACTGCGCAATTGTGATCAACAGCTCCACTTGTTCTTTCAGCCCTGAAGCTGCAATTGCACGTTTGGCGAAGCGATCGCCAATCACAAGAGTAGCTCGATCTAGGAAAGCAAAGAGCACGTCACGCGTATCTCCAGCCACTGGGAGGTAGTTGTGAATGACATCAGCTTCACCTGACGGGACCGTAAACTCCTCCAGGTCGTAGAAGATGAAGGTGTCGAGAGCGGCATCATTCACAGTATCATCCTCAGTAAAAGTTCCACCGGCACAACGATCGAACATCTTGGAGAGGATGACCATAAGACCGCTTGCTAATTGCTGGGCTGCACGTACCTTCGGTTCGATGAGAACTCCGTCGAACTTCTTGGCGATGCAGCCATACATGCGATGATCGCTGTTCTTGATGTACTTGACGACGTTCACGATGAGGTTACCCTCGTAATGTGCCTGTACCAAGGCAAGTGGTAGGAGAGAATGCGTCCTACTAGGTGTCCTAAAGTGTCGTATTGTCCTAAAACCTGGGATAAAAAACTAGCAATCGGTTCATAAACGGTCCAATATTTAGGACACCACAATGTGCTTTAGGCCAGGCTACGTGTGTCCTAATAGGACACTCAACAACTCGACACTTATTATGTCCTATTAGGACACACAGCAACTCAGACTACTGTCCTATTAGGACAACATCAAACCCAACATGCACTGTCCTATTAGGACAACGTTACTAGTTTTCTACTGTCTTATCAATATAATTCAATTATTCATCTATAATTCACAAGAGCAATTACACATGGGAATATTGTATTAGTAGGTTCTATCTGCATCTACTCAAACCTTTTGTAGTCTTCAGGAATCTCCAGTGTCGCTGGTGGGGCATGCTGAGGGGCTTTCTGGCGGAGGTGTTTGATATCCTCGATACGCTGGATATAGCGGCAGCATGGCGGCGCTTGATCCCGTCGTACACCTCTTGCCAGACAACTGGTGGAGGGGTAGCCATGTTGCTGACGCTGCGTCGCTGTAGCTCTAGGCGCATTTCGCTGCGCACATCAATGACTTGTGGCACCGCCTCGTCGCACGTATGTAGAACCCCGTCTGCTACAACTGCACCTGATCGGACAGTTATCTTAGCCTTGCATCCTTTGCGGAACCGCTTGCAGACGTAGTAAACCGTGCTTGTTTCAGGACACGAGCGCTTGATGCAGAAGGAGTAGCCGCGATGGTCCATGGTGCTTAGCTGCCGTGGTGGAGATTGATAAATGGTTCTTAGGACAGTAAGTAACGCTAATGTGTGTATTAAGTAACGCTTATGTAATTTTAAGTAGAAGGTCCAGAAGAAAGTTAATATTTGAGTTTTAGGACAATATGGAGGACACAAATTATAATATTCTGTAGCGAAGGATTAGTCGCTTTTTAGGACACATCTCCAAAATCTCCCTGTAAAATTTAGGACAAATAGGACACTTTAGGACATGTCTTAGGACGCATTATCCTACACCCCCCCACCGCCATCGCCAGCGCAATCCCGACTCAACCGAGAGTCAGGGCTAGATCGGCAAGAAAGATCACGATTGTGATGACTCCAATGACCACAGCAACGGTTAGAAGGTGAAATGCCACCAGCGCGCTTGATCGTTTTAACAGCGGCTTGATACTGCAATATTTTAGGTGTTCATCGCTGCAACCACTTTTTTGGTTCTCCGGGAAAGCTTACGCAAGCTTCGTCCGCAAGTCTCGACCAGCAACGTGGATGTGAGCCTGATCACTTGGCAGTGCCAGTCTCGACCAGCAACGTGGATGTGAGCCTGATCACTTGGCATTGACAGTTCGATTCAGTAGGAGCTTGTTTCTTGCTTGGAAATTTGGATATGAGACTGAAGTCAAGATGCTGTAAGGTGAAGCCATCTAAACTAGTTATATGGCTACTCTTTTGATGATATCGGTATGATGATTCATCATATTATTAAAAACAAACAGTCCGAAAGGTCTCTATTATTAGAGACCTTTTGGAGCGTGTGCACGTTGTGAGTTGCAGGATTGGTACGCATAAATAATGCAAAATTACCCCTGTTTAGTAATCACATGCATCGTTCCAGCAAAGCTTTCAGCAAATATTGAGAAAGGAGAGCCTCTATTCTGCATCTTTGCGGGGGGGGTTCATGCCGCTAGAAAATCATGTTCTGCATCTTTGCGGGGGTTTTCATGCCGCTAGAAAATCATATACCCCCCCCCCTGATCCGATTATATTAAAAATTTCGAGATCAGTGGGGATTTGCGATGCGAGGGCAGGAAGGACCAATCTGGGAGCTACCACAGCCTCACTTGCTACCGACGATCTTGCGTGCGTGTCCCCGTGTAGCGCAACCAGCAGCATATCGGCAGACAGCTGGGCAATGAGTGAGCATCTCGTGCAGCGTGATGACGATACGGGCAGCAGCGGAGAGGGAGAATTGAACGAAGAGGGGGGGCTCCATGAAAGGGTCTCGTATAGCCAAGATGATGATACTACAAAGACGTAGGCAAGCACCAAATGTCTTGCCTGCAAACAAAGCATTTGATGCGCGGAGCACATCGACTCCGCAGACGTTCCGTAAGCGGTTCGGGCCAGATGAGGACTATATCTTAGCCGTTCAAGTGAACAAGGATACGCCTTTTATGGCAGAGCACGGGTCCATTTAGAAAGGTCTCAGATGCTTGCAGATAATCTTAATGCCTGTCCTTACTTCTACATGAAGCACATCACGGCCAGGCAAGATGTCATAAAATTGTTAGCAAGTTTCGTGCGTGGGAGAAGCAGTCGGCCGGTTTTGTAGGCTGTGCTGAGCAAGCGACATCTTGCATTCGTGAGATGACTGGATTAGTATCGATGCTGGCTGATCGGGCGCGAACGTTAGCCGAGAACGCTTCCGTAAATGCGGACATCGTGTGTTCTAGAGCCCGAGCAAGCGAAGTTGTTCGGGTGGCTGTAGTATCGGATTAAACGGCGAGTGAGTGATAACGCTATCCAAAACAAAGAAGACAGACCAAAGACATTGAATCTTCCACGAAAGCACCAGGCGAAAGTTGCCGCTGAGTTGAAAGCTATTTTAGCAGACATGAAGGCAGAAAGATCAAAATAGTTGGATAGTTTGGCACAGATCCAGCAAGCTGAGCTAAATCAGCGAAAGATTGAGTACGAAATTGAGAGGGTCGAGAGCGAGAAAGATAGGCTGGAGCGTCAAGCAGAGCGAGAGGCTCGCCAAAAAGAGCGCGACGATCAAATGAAACTCATTGCTAGTTTGATGCAAGTTATTCAAGCGATAAAGACTAGGATCAGCCTAGCAATACATTGACGTGGTTAGATTGTTGGAAATAATCTTCGAGAGCTGGTGGATAGCAGCTAAAATGGTCGCTAATCTGGTTGCCTCCAAACGTGCACGTTTGTGCATTTTTAACAAAACTGCTACATGTACCATGCGAGCAACGGGCGTTGACATAATCTTATACTTCTTGTGTCAATCCAAAAAGGCCCATTGCCCTTTGATGATCCCACACATCCACTCGACTGAAAACTCGGTTCTTGCTCATGATCTCATTAAACCGCTTTTTATCACTGCGTTCGACAGCGTTTTGAAAAGGACTGCACAGCAATTCGTCAGCTCCGTACGCTGGGTCGCCGTAAATTACCTCTTCTAGTTACTGCATCTACGGGTGGCGTGCTAGATAGAGAAGCAGCTTGCTCTCACACAACATCGTAGAGTCATGGAGTCGCCCTTCTAGAGGCCCAAAGAAGGAAATACACAATCTTGTATAAAAGCGATAATTTGTAAATACCTAACCGTTTTTTTTAATTAATAGCCGCGCACTTATCACTCGGAATAAAAACACCTTGATACTTAAGGCAGTAACGTCGGTTATGGCCGCTATAACATACCTTTTGACGATTTTTTCGATCTCCTAAAGGAATATTGTCAAAAGCATTCTGCACAGCTACGATCCTTCTTCTTCTCTTACCAGGACGACAGATGAATGCTTTTGTTCCATCAATAATGTGACGGGGTCACACAGCACCTTGCGCTAGAGGAAGTTAGCTTCCGAGAGTATACAAACTCTCAGTGAACGGCAGTTCACAGGTCCCCTCTTTATTCAAAAGAGAGCGAAGTGACCCAATTAAGGTAGAATGTAAACTGAGTATATTTATAGGTAGATAAAGCTTGGGTTAAATACAAACTATAAGTCACCTTTAGAAATGCAATGTCATCAACCAATGGTAGGCTTTGGACGACCTTGGTACTTTGTACCAAATATCCCGAAGTATGACGTGTCATACTCCTGAAGTGTGACGTGTCACACTTCATGTAACCAGGGTACACTTAGGGCTACGTACCCCGTTACATCCCCCCCACTTAGGTTCGGTTTACCGACCAATCAGAATGAAGAGGTGTTCGTCACAAACTTTCATTCTCAAAGTCGAAAACCATCGACTTGGCCGCGCGAGCGCGGCAGAGGCTCACTTCACAGTTAGATCCTCGAGCAGCAGTCTGTGTGCTCTTCTTCTAGGTCTCCACTTCGACCGTTTACCATGCCTCGTGGCACTGCAAAGAGCGGTGCGAAGACACGCTCCAAGGCTGCTGCCGGGAAGGCGCAAGCCAAGAGCGCTAAGCCTCACGGCAAAGGCTCGGCACTTAAGGAGGCTACTCAGGTGGCCTCCGAGGCGATCGGTTCCTCGGGTGACGCGGCTGTGGGCAAGCGAGCAAGCAAGCGCCGCAGCCCGTCGTCCTCGGCCTCTCCAGACAATCGTCCGAACCCTCGGTTCGTAGAACGTGAGCTCGACTCTGGCAGTGAGGACGAAGCCGAGTCCGAGAGCACGCACGATGCACCTGCGGGCTCTGTGGAAGGGTACAGCCCAGTGCCCAGCGAGCACAAGGATGACAGCGTGCAGTCGCTCGCTAGTGATCAAGGTGATCACAGCCCCAGTACGTCTGTGCGCTCTGAGAGTCCCGCCGTCAAGGCTAAGGGCACTCCCAAAGCTGGTGGCGATGAGGAAGATAATTCTCGCAAACGTCTCTCGCTTGCCGAGGGTCTTGCGCGTGCTAAGGCCTCTAAAGCCGAAGGCGCCAAGCCCTCAAAGAAGCGTAAAGCCTCTAAGTCTCCACTCCGCGAGGAGAAGGAGACTCGGCACTCCCATCGGGGCATCTTCGACTCCTCGGATGAAGAGGAGGAGAAGGAGGAAGACGAGGAGGAGGATGGTGCTATCTCTGAGCCCCGGGAGGTCACGAATGACCTCGACCAGCAGCAGGAGGATTTCCAAGCTGCCCAGCGTGTGCGTGGGGGCACCCGTAAGCCAGGGAGCTGCCATCAGCTCAAGAGGGGATTGGCCTCCCGAGGAGAGCTCTGGGGCTGACCTC